TAACGAGCGAACACCTTGAGACGTTTAGAGGGGGGAACCCAGGCCTTGCACAATATGAGAAAAAAGACAAACCACACTATCGGTTGGTCTCAGTGTAGACATGGAAACAAAGGCAGAGCAGCAATGACATGAGCTCAGTTTTAGAAAGATTGAGTTTGAGGAAGTGGAGTCACTTAGTAGGTTAGTAATGCAAGAGGAGAAGAGTAGAGAGATAGATTTGTGTGTCATCAGCATAGAGATGGTACTTGAAGCCATGGGAGTTTATCAAGTGACCAAGGGAAGAGGTGTAGATGGAGAAGAGAAGGGTTTCAAGGACAGAACCTTGAGGGACCCCTACAGAAAGAGGAAGTGGAGAGGAGGAGACAGAGTTGTAGGTAATACTGAAGGAGCGCTGCGATAGGTAGGAAGAGAACCAGGAGAGAGCAGAGTCTCGTAGGCCAAGATAGTGGAGTTTTTTTGAGGAGGAGGGGATGGTCAACGGTATCAAAAGACACAGAGGGGTCAAGTAGTAAGAGTATGGAGTAGTGGCCATTGGTTTTAGCAGTTAGTAAATCATTAGTGAGTTTTAGTAGGGCAGTTTCAGTGGAGTGTAGTGAGCTATAGCCAGACTGTAAAGGGTCAAAAAGGTTGTTGCCAGTGAGGTAGGAGCTCAGGTGATTGTAGACTAGGTGTTCTAAGAGTTTAGAGGTCAACAGGGGCAGGGAGATGGGTCTTAAGTTGTTTTGGTTGGTGGGATCCAGTGACGGCTTTTTAAGTATGGGAGTGATCTGTGCATATTTTAGAGGGGAGGGGAAGGTGCCAGTAGAGAGGGAGAGATTGAAGATGTGAGTTATCATTATCATAAAGGAATTTAAATTAAGTTCAGTAACTATCTCGTAAATATATTTGTATTCTACTTTTACTGCTGTCACTTACAGTGAGTGATAGCAAAAAATCTTAGGGACTAAACATTTTTGTATAATGACAAGTTGGGATATACATATAGAACAGAAACCATCTTCAAGAAGAAACTTACTTTTGGTGTTAATTGCTTTTGGTGATAGAAGGTGTGGGATGTACTATAGGCATCTAAACACAACTAAACAATGCAGGCACTAGTATTACAGGAGTAGTCTAGACTTCTGAAAATGTTACAGAAATACAGTTGCAAGAAAAAGTATGTGAACCCCTTGGGATTACGTGGAGTTTTGCATGAATTGGGCATAAAATGTGCTCTGAACGTCATCTAAGTCACAACAATAGAAGAACACAGTCTGCTGCACATAATACTACACAAACATTAGATGTTGCCATGGTTTAATTGCACATAACATGTAGACATTCACAGTGCAGGGAGGAAAAAGTATGTGAGGCCCTAGCTTAATGACTTCTCCCAGAGCTAATTGGAGCCAGGAGTGAGCCAACCTCGACTCCAATCAGTGTGATGATATTGGATGTGTTGCTGACAGCTGTCCTGCCCTTAAAAAACACACACCTGTTTTGGGTTTACTGGTTTCAAGAAGCACTGTCTGATGTGAACCATGCCTCGCAGAAAAGAGCTCTCAGAAGACCTACGATCAAGAATTGTTGACTTGCATGAAGCTGGAAAGGGTTACAAAAGTATCTCCAAAAGCCTTGATGTTCATGTGTCCACGGTAAGACAGACAGTCTACAAATGGAGAAAGTTTAGCACTGTTGCTACCTCCCTAGGCGTGGTCGTCCTGTAAAAATGACTGCAAGAGCACAGCGCAGAATGCTGCCTGAGGTAAAGAAGAATCCCAGAGTGTCAGCTAAAGACCTACAGAAATCTCTGGCACATGCTAACATTTTTGTTGACACATCTACAATAAGGAAAACATTAAACAAGAATGGAGTACATAGGAGGACACCACGGAGGAAGCCATTGCTGTCCAAAAAGAATATTGCAGCACGTTTGAAGTTTGCAAAAGAGCACCTGGATGTTCCACAGCACTACTGGCAAAATATACTGTGGACAGATGAAACCAAGATTGAGTTGTTTGGGAAGAACACACAACACTATGTGTGGAGAAAAAAAGACACAGCACACCAACATCAAAACCTCATCCCCACTGTAAAACATGGCGGAGGGAGCATCATGGTTTGGGGCTGCTTTGCTGCCTCAGGGCCTGGACGGATTGTTGTCATTGATGGCAAAATGAATTCCAGAGTTTATCAAGACATTTTGCAGGAAAACGTACGACCATCTGTCCGCCAACTGAAGCTCTGCAGAGGATGGGTGATGCAACAGGACAATGACCCAAAGCATACAAGTAATTCAACAAAACAATGGCTGCAACAGCACAGAATATGCCTTCTGGAGTGGCCCAGTCAGAGTCCTGACCTCAACCCCATTGAAATGCTGTGGCATGACCTTAAGAGAGCGATTCACACCAGACATCCCAAGAATATTGCTACACTGAAACAGTTTTGTGAAGAGGAGTGGTCCAAAATGACTCCAGATCGTTGTGCAGGTCTGATCTGCAACTACAGGAAACGTCTGGTTGAGGTTATTGCTGCCAAAGGAGGGTCAACCAGTTATTAAGTCCAAAGGTTCACATACTTTTTCCTCCCTTCACTGTGAATGTTTACATGTTATGTGCAATTAAACCATTGCAACATCTAATGTTTGTGTAGTATTATGTTCAGCAGACTGTGTTCTTCTATTGTTGTGACTTAGATGACGTTCAGAGCACATTTTATGCCCAATTCATGCAAAACTCCACGTAATCCCAAGGGGTTCACATACTTTTTCTTGCAACTGTACATAACAAATCTAACTTAGTGACATTAACAGTGCAAAGGAAAAATGCTAGCAGTAATTAATATTTACAGTCAACACATTCACTCTGTGTGGCCACAGAATAAAACTTTTATAAGTGATCTGTTCTCTGTTAATCCAAGGTCAGATATCATTTAATTGTAAAATTACATGCATCATTCAACATATACAGTAAGTAGTATTTTCTAAAAAAACACATTTTTTTTTTTATTTGAATGTGAGCAAAGCATGGGTTTAAGATAACAAACCATTTTGGATTTAGTATTGTATTGAAAATAGTAAAATTGCAATAAAATAAACAAGCAAAAAAACCTCAGAAGCTGAACTATGCTGTAAACCGATTGTGACGTCTATGGAAAATATTACTATGCACTCCAATGTTTGTTTACATATTTAAGGAGCCAATGTGAAAATGATAACTTACAGCCAGACTGCTAGCCATTCTATGATTGGTTACTATACTACAGATTTTCAATCCCCACAAGCAATGCAGTGTTGTGAAAAGAAGGACCAGGAATATATAAATCTTTTTTTCTAAAGATGCTGAACTTTTATTAATTGATTTTTCACTATATTGTTCCACTTTTTAAACTTTTTTTTAAAAGGATTAGAGGATTATAGGTATACTGTAGGTTGATTCTTTTGGTCTTAATAACCTACTTTCTTTCTTTACCTTTTGGTGAATCCTGTAAATGGATCTCCTTGCCATAGTTCCTGTATACAATACAGTATATTTCTGTCGATCTTGTAGATTTTTTTTATGCATGCACCTTGGTAAGTTCTTATGCATTGTCTATTGCATTTTCATTTATACAGAATGAACAAATTAAAAGGAAAAATGGAAAGTGGAACTTTCCCATAACAGCTTCAGCTAGTAGACATGTCTAGAAACTTATGTGATTTAACTGTGCATATTCTGTTTATTTATTTATTTACTGCAATTAATTTAACCTCTAAGTAGCTAAGCTTAAAGTGGCATTCCAGTTTTACCCTAACTAATCCTAAATGTATTCCCACCCCCATTGTAAGACTATTCTATTTATCCTGTAAAAGAAAAGATGCTTATACTTACATATTTTGAATTGGCCCTGGTCTGGTCACATAACTGTCTTCCAGCACTGGCTTCAGTATAGAGGAGGGACAGCCGACAATGGCTGCCCTATAGTAAGCCTATGGGTGACATCAACACATAGGCTCTGTAGTTGTTGTTGCTGTCTTTCCTCTACACTAAGGCCAATGTTGGAAGCTGGTAATGTGATCACACCAGAGAGGCTTCAGAATAGGTAAGTATTATTATTATTATACAGTATTATAAAGCGCCGATAGTTCGGTCAGCGCTGTACATTACAAAGGGGGACAGAACATGTGACAGAACAATAACAATACAATGCAAAACATGAGGGGATTGAGGGCCCTGCTCTTTCGAGCTTACAATCTAGGAGGGAGGGGATGGTGGCACAGGAGGAGATAGCTGTGGGGTGGTAGGAAGAGTGGAGGAGGTCGGCAAGTTAGCAGGGGGTGGGGTAGGCTTCCCTGAAGAGATGGGTTTTCAGGGTGCGCCTAAAGGAGAGGAGAGTAGGTGATAATCTGATGGGCTGGGGCAGGGAGTTCCAGAGGATGGGTGACACCCTGGAGAAGTCCTGGAGGCGGGCATGGGAGGAGGAGACCAGGGAACTAGAGAGAAGGAGGTCTTGTGAGGAGCGGAGTGTGTGTGTTGGGTGGTACTTGGATACTAGGTCAGTGATGTAGTTTGGGGCAGTATGGTGGACGGCTTTGTACGTCAGTGTTAGGATTTTGAATTTGATCCATTGCACAATCGGAAGCCAGTGGAGGGATAAGCATAAGCATCTTTTCTTTTACAGGGTAGATAGAACAGTCTTAGAATGGGGGTAGGAGTAAATTTAGGGTTAGTTAGGGTGAGAACAGAATTCCACTTATCTTTCAATGAGTAGGGTGGGAGGTGAATCACAATATTACCCCAAATTATGCCTGATTTGTCAGCTTTGAAGATTCACAACCTAAACAGCCACAAAATGCAGGTAGTGTGACAAATTTAGACATTAACTGCAATAATTGCTACTTTCAGATTGTGACTTCCCTTACTAATTATGGAGAAGATACACTATATTGCCAAAAGTATTGGGACACTCCTCCAAATCATTGGATTCAGGTGTTCCAATCACCTCCATAGTCACAGGTATATCAAATCAAGCACCTAGGCATGCAGACTGCTTCTACAAATATTTGTGAAAAAACGGGTCGCTCTCAGTAGCTCAGTGAATTCAAGCATGGTACTGTAATAGGTTGCCACCTGAGCAATAAGTCCGTCTGGGAAATTTCCTTGCTACTAAATATTCCACGGTCAACTGTTAGTGGTATTATAACAAAGTGGAAGCAACTGGGTACAAAAGCAACTCAGCCATGAAGTGGTAGGCCACATAAAATGACAGAGCGGGGTCAGCGCATACCGGAGCGCATAAAGTGCAGGAATCACCAACTGTCTGCAGAGTCAATAGCTAAAGACCTCCAAACTTCATGTGGCCTTCAGATTAGCACAACAACAGTGTGTAGAGAACTTCATGGAATGGGTTTCCATGGCCGAGCAGCTGCATCCAAGCCTTACATCACCAAGTGCAATGCAAAGCGTTGGATGCAGTGTTGTAAAGCACACCACCATTAGACTCTAGAGCAGAGGAGACCTGTTCTATGGAGTGATGAATCACGCTTCTTTGTCTGGCAATCTGACGGACGTCTCTGGGTTTGGCTGTTGCCAGGAGAATGGTACTTGCCTGACTGCATTGTGCCAAATGTAAAGTTTGATGGAGGGGGGATTACGGTGTGGGGTTGTTTTTCAGGGGTTGGGCTTGGCCCCAGTGAAGGGAACTCTTAAGGTGTCAGCATACCAAAACATTTTGGACAATTTTATGCTCCCAACTTTGTGGGAACAGCTTGGGGATGGCCCATTCCTGTTCCAACATGACTAAGCACCAGTGCACAAAGCAAGTTCCATAAAGACATGGATAAATGAGTGGAGGAACTTGACTGGCCTGTACAAAGTCCTGACCTCAACCCGATAGAACACCTTTGGGATGACTTAGAGCAGAGACTCCGATCACGGCTTTCTCGCTTGACATCAGTGCTTGGCCCCACAAATGTGGTTCTGGAAGAATGGTCAAACATTCCCATAGACACACTCCTAAACCTTGTGGACAGCCTTCCCAGAACAGTTGAAGCTGTTACAGCTGCAAAGGATGGGCCAACTCAATATTGAACCCTATGGGCTAAGACTGGGATGCCATTAAAGTTAATGTGCATGTAAAGGCAGGCATCCCAATACGTTTGATGAATAAAAACAAACAAGGGCGCACTCTCATCGTGCATTACCGTGGTATAACACGTAATTTATTAAATAGAAAGGATGTATACTCACAAACCAACGTGATAATGGACAGTATAGGTGATCCACAAAAACAGTCACAATGCAACTGTGTCTAATGATGCGGATAAGCTGATGCGTTTCGGGAGTTAAACCCCCTTCCTCAGAGCTAAGATTAGGATTTACCTGATTCAGCCCCACTGGCTAAATAAGAGAAATAACTTTATTCCCCCATACATGCTAATCAGTATGGATGGACAAGTCTGCAGTTCCAGCTAATGTTTTCTGACAGCCAACACCTGCAGGGCAGGAATACCCAAACAGTGGCTGATTAGATGCAGGAACTGTTATGATAAGAATCTTCTACCTTGCTCCTTCCGCAAACGTCAATTGAAAAATCAACATTTGTCCAGTCTGGTGGTGCTGACAGGAAAAATGTTCGCTGATTTGTCAGGGAATGGATGAAATTTGATTGATATATGGCCAGATTTACATCCCAGAAAGGAAACTGAAACTTAAATGCCCTTTCAAGTGCACCATTAGCATCATCTCATTCTCCATCCAAATGTTAATTGGCCATACTTACTTTTAGATCACCTTCTACATAGAGGCATGCTCCTTCATGGTTTCTATTGAGAGCATCACCACAAAATATATTAATGGGCCAGATGTGTGAAAAATAACAAAAAAAATTAAAGGACAAGATGGGGAGTAGTTAGATAGGGAGAGGTAAGACATTGGAGGGGGATGTATGGTAGACAAGAATGGATGTCAAGTCAGCAGCCAATCTTATAACCCAGTTCTGTTTCAGAACACATGTTCTAGGAGCCCACCATTAGATTATTGTATTCCTTAGAATATACATAGTTCACACAATAGTACCACATTTTTAAAATTTTTCTTCTTAATAGTATAATATCGCTGTCAGATATTGGTGGATCTCTGCAAATTTGGACAGCCACAATTGAATGGTAGGGGGGGACTCCTGTCTCATTAATAAGGGAACACACATCCTATCTGCATTCATCAGGTGAATTGATAAAGATTGTAATGTTTCCTTTAAAGGTGAAGCAAAAAAAGCAGCTGGAAAATACCCAAAAGCAGTTTTGGTTAGTTTATGTGTGAAGTCCTTTATTTGGCTCTTTTAAGGTCTTAATTTAGGACAGAACCAAAAGATATGCATAAGTACACTCTTGCTGTTTACATCTCCAACAAAGTGATTATTAAATTGTGTTAAGCTGGTCACAGATGATTCTAATCTCATCCAGTTCAGCAGGGACTGGCTGAGATTCCAACTATGTATGGGTAGGCTGAATGTACCCAAGTTGATCGATCAATCATTTTAAATGTGATTATTACATGCACCGGGAAAACACAGTGGCTCCACAGAAGGGATTCCCCCTTCAACACTTACTGATAGGGGAATCGAGCGATTTTCTTTCCTGCAACCCATGGCTGCAAGAAAGAAAATTGCTCCATCTATGGCCAGTTTTAGAGATGAAAGCGTGGTGAAAAAATATAAGATTTTGTAAGTTTATAGTTCAATGCTCCTAGTGTTCTCAAACATATTAAACAATAACTATATATATATAAAGTGTCTAAACCTTCATGCAATTGAAATTAGAATGATCATAATCTGCAGTGCCAAAATATACTAAGTGCAGACAAAGCTGTGCATATCATAGAAAAGAGTCTATTCTGAGACCACGTCTTTGGAAACAGAGTAAATGTGTTTCTAATGACTCCTCTGTGTCTTCCACCAATTTCATGAATGCTGGCCATGGTGCACACCTTAGGGAATACACATTTATCAGATGGCTTTAACCACTTGTATCTCTAAGCTGGTCAAAATTAACATTTTAGCTGGATCCACTTTTTCCTTACTCCCTTTTCTAATTCAGTGTGCAGACTTTCCTTTCAGTAGTAACTCAGGGAAAATAAGGGAGAAAAGGCTAACATACCGTAGTTTAAAACCTTTTAAAACTTTATTAAAAAAACAATATAAAAAAAAAAAAAAACACATTTCCATGTGCTATACAGCACTGTTTAACAAATGCCTTGCTGGACAACACTACCTCCATGCATCTGGAATGGGGTCACCAATATTATCCTGCTAGATGTGAGGACATCACAGACTAATCCCATTAAACATGTTTTGTTAAAAATGACTTCCTCAGGAATGACATCTGTGCTATCATCTGAGCAACCTTATGTACAAAAATAAGGCCTCCTATATACTGTCACAATTAACCCCTCAGTCACTCAACATAATTTGATACCTTAAATGGAAAAACCTCACAAGCATTGAAAATGTATATTTTTATATAATTAATACACCTTTCATTGTATCTTATATTAAAAAAAAATCACCCCTACTTGATATAAGTGATACCCTAAGGATACTAAACATCTAAATCCCATTTTTTATTTTTGTATAATTCAAACTACATCTTAACACATTTCATTCTCATTCTCATTGGCTGGAACATATCTGAATGGCACTACACTGAAGAATCAAGTTTACTAAAGAAAATTTGGTATTTGATACTTTCGAGAGTGATGCATGGAAAACCATTGTCCTAGGAGCCCCAATTTCTGATTTTACAAAAACTTAAGCTCCCTAAGGTCACATTCTTTCCTGTGCTGCTCATGAAACATTGAACATGAAGTATTTTGTTTATGCTAACACCATAGTACCTGAAACTGGATCATAATCTTGCTGTACCTACTATGTATCCTACCATAGTCCTGACATAGGCCAGAATAACTATCTTGCTCAGCCCTCCAAGTACGGTGTCTACTTTGTCGACAAAATGCTGAATCCCGGTACCTGAAAAACATCAAACCACATGCTTGAGGTAATTCTGTCAACAAATTGTTATAAAGCCTCTTACATCCACAATCCACATTAAAATCCCCACCAGTACCAATGTTCTCATCTTACTGCTGGTAGGAGAGGTCACATGTGGAGCTGCCATTTTTGAGTTTACCTCCCTCATATTTTTATTCATGGTGTCAAATTTGATTGGATGCAAAAATATAGGACTTCCTTTTTTTCATCCTAAGATTTATCCTTTCTGTCACATTCAGCTGTAAGGCTAGTACACAAAAAAAAAACACTTTTTCAACATTTTACTTTTCAGACTTCTACTCTGTGCTTACAGAAGGGCAACATACTCACAAGTGTTATGCAGTTACTCACCTGTTCTTAACTATGCACTAAAATATTAATTGTACTTTTTACAGCCTCTGTAAGTTATGTAGCGCTACCATCGCAAGGGCCGCTTGTATGTTTGCCCTGATTTCCCCTTACTTCACCCTGCAGTCAGGCACAGTGTATTTCTTCAGCCAAATACACACACTTCCGCTCATTGTCTTCAATGAGCAGTCTAGGGGATGTTTGTTTTTGGAGTTTTATTGTAGAACTGGGGATAGAGATAGGGAATTGTAGTAGGATACTCCAAAATTAAAACTATTCACACTGAAGACATCTGAACTTATCTCTTATTGAGCACTATTGAAGTTCTGACTGAAGGCAAATAGCAGACCTCTCTTTAAAGTTTAGTAGCAAGTAGTTTAGGAGTGAGCAAAGTCCCTTTAATAGGAGTAGTTGCAGGGCTGAGCTCCTCAGGTACAAGCCTGTTATGGTAGACTGTAGCAGTTCAGGAGTAATAGAACTGAGCAAAGTCCTTTGCAGTAGCACACATTGGACAAGCTCTTCAGAACACTAGCACAGTGTTCTCTTTTTCTCAGACCCATGCTGATCAAGCACCAGGGGGGTAAGAAAACACAGAGAGTCCCCAAGATCTCTTAAGTGTCTGTACTCACAGGTCCAAGGACAGAATGGTTGCCTCCTTTCAATCTTCCAAGTGACTCTCTCCAGTTATACCAGACATATCTTTGGCAGATAGCTCCCCTCAGTCATTTTACTGTAGAACCAGGGTCACTCTCTCTCTAATGTCAGGCCCTCAGGTCAACCCACCTGAAGCTCCATGACAGCAAGTGCGAGGTGAGGCAGCCTGCCTCCAGCCTGGCTTGGTGCAATCCACTCCTGGGAAAGACACTGAACCCATGTGTTCACCAAACATAAATAACACTCCCAGCATGCAATGGGCCACCTTACCCTACAATTGGCCAGGGCTGTATTCATATACATGCTGTTCATTTGCCTAGCCCCTTCCCATATTCTGGAAGGCTCTCATAGCTTCCTGAAGACAGGCAGAGCAAGAGGGGTTCGAGGG